TGTTTGTGTGTGTGTGTGTGTGTGTGTGTGTGTGTGTGTGTGTGTGTGTGTGTGTGTGTCGGACCTGCAGCAGTTGGCGTTTCCACAGAGCAGCACCTCTCTCCCTCCACAGCAGATTGTGCAGTAGGACTGGTAACCGTCATCGTCATACATGTAGGAAATCTCCAGGTACACGTCCTGAATACAGACACCATTATTGATATTTTAAAATATTCATTATATTATAAATAATCATCAGTGATAATCCATTACATCCATTTACTGTGATTAAAACCAGGAAAAGACAATCGTGCACTATTACGGTATCCAGAATGTAAGACAATATCTAGTTTCATATCACGATATTGACATACATCAATATATTGCGCAGCCATAATTGAAATATCAATCTAGTGCAGGGCTTCTCAAACTCCGGACCAAGGTCCGAATCCGGACCGAACGGATTGACTTGCAGTTCGGTCCGGATTCGGACCTTGGTCCGGAGTTTGAGAAGCCCTGCACTAGATTGATATTTCAATTATGGCTGCGCAATATATTGATGTATGTCAATATCGNGTCGTGCCTTGGCAGTCTCATATTCCTATCAATATTATGAAGGCTTTTACAGAAGGGTTTGTTCATATATCATTCATAGCCTGAATTATACAACATTGTATACCTAAAAACATGGCAACAATTGATATTTTAGGGCTGTTGACAGTATTTTCTGATTTATGGAGTGATAAAAAGAGATATCCAAAATCCCTTCTGTAAAAGCCTTAGATACTAATATGACTACAAAATGAAACAAGAATTTTGAACCTGGCTTTATCCAAAGTTCAGATTTCGATTCCTGAAATGTGTTAAAATATGCACATATTTGATGAGATAATGGCTAATTTGCATATTTAAACATGCTATTTCAGAAAACTTTTAATACAAAAGACAATTGCCTTATTGTAAGTAATTAACTGGAGAAATTTCTAGCTGATACCTTTAAGTTAAAAAAATTACCCTATTCACCTGGGGTGTCTCGCCTTAAACTTTATTAGACCTGTTATTGTATGACGATGCATCTTTACGTGGTGTTCTGATATTTAAAAAATGACACTGATTTGCCTATTGATGGCGCTAGCCTTAAAGTTAATCTTTCCTAGGTCAAATACAACATTTATTCATTAGTCAGAATGATTCAATTATAAAATATCAGCTTATAACACTGACGGAGGACATTTGCTGCATACTTGAAGCACGTTTTGATGATATTACGTCTGCCCTTGAGAACTTATTTTTAAATCAAGGAATTTTGACTATAAAAATAATATGTGGTATTGCTATGTTGTACAGGATTGGAATAGTCCTTTACCTTTTCAACTACCTTCATATCACCTTGTGAATTTAATTTGTTGTCAACTTTAGCTTTTTGTCTCACATTGTGTCACATCTCTTCATCACAGATGTCCAGTATCCGAGCGGAGAAGAAGTTTCCTCCCTGCGAGACGGACAATCCAGAAGACCAGGTCAAACCCATGCTGGACTGGGCCAACGGCGGCTTCCTGCCCAAAGGCGGGGAGGGACTCAAACCCACACACAGTGCCGGTGAGAAAGGCAGCAGCAAACCAGTCGTATAAACCACTTCCAAACGTCTCGTCCACAGAGGAAATAAGAGTTGTTCTGCTTGTGTGTCGCCCTGCAGACAGTAACCCTCTGGACAACCAGGTCCTCGACGTTTCGCTGCCCGAGTATTTCCCCAGCGCCAAACGGCCCAGAGTCAGCCTCTGTAAGGGCAAGGCCGCCCCTGAGGAGACATACAGCAGAGGTACCTTAACACTCTAACAGAAATAAAATAATAAGTACAGTGTCAAAAAATATGTTATTATGGTTTTGTTATTATTTCTGGTATTTTCCATTTCTGTTTGGCTGCACATAAAAAATAAAACACATGCAACACAAGGTGCTGAACACTGTAAAGCAAATAAAATGTTTGTGTATTTATAACATCTAAACGTTGACTTTCCTTTTCCTCTCAGAACAAATGGTGAATGAAGTTCTAAAGAATAACAGAAGTATAGAAGGTACGAACGCTTTGACATTGTTGTGTTTCTGTGTGACTCATGTTAATTATTAGTTCTGTTATTCCTTCTTTTTTCACTGTTGATTGATGAGTGTGTGTGTTTCTTCCTGCGTGTGTTTTGGCAGAGTTCTGTCTCTCTTGTGGGAAGACGAGAGTAGCAACCTTCCACCCGCTCTTTAACGGAGGCCTGTGCCAAAATTGCAAGGTAATACAATTCTAAAAACATGGGTTACTTTGACGGATCAGAAGCTTTTCCTAACGGGTTCCTTAGGATGGAGCTTTCTCCTTTCTTCTCAGTTGCGTTGATCATGTGTGTGGTGCATTCAGGGGTCCTTGTCAACAGAACTTTGTTGTCCTACTATTAAAAGTGGGGATGGATCCATTTCATTTAAGTTATCCAGTTCCAAGGCTTTGGTAATGGGACATTTCTTTTAAAGATAATACAGATATCTTAAAGGTTTCTCGCTTCAAGAAGTCCCATTGTCTAATAACAACTTTTTTTTTTCACTTTGGATTCACATGGAAAAAAACTCAACCAATAATCATGATTACTGAGTTTGCAAATAGTGATATATGACCGAAAGAATGATGACAAACTGGGGAATTGTTCACCAGATTAACATATGATTAACCTAATGAACTTTTTTTTAAATATCTTTTCTTTAATTTGTTTCTGCAGTGTTTGAGGGATTCACTAGAGCAGGGGTACTCAAACTTTTTTATTAAAGGTCCACTTGTGAATTTTATACAAGGTCACTGGTCCGGATAAATGCCAGTAAAGTCCCCCGGAGCGGAGCGGAGCAACGAAACTGAAATTAANCCCGGGGGCCTCGGGGGTCCGGTCCTCTCACCTGTGCGCCCCTACTACCCTCCTCATTACCCCGGGCAACGACAGCCTTATCACTCCCCGTCGATCTCCACCAATCAAAACCCAGGACTGTCTCTGTATCGAAACACTAACGGAGCAGGAGGAGGAGGAGGAGGAGGAGGAAGAGGAGTTGGAGGAGGTGGAGGAGGTGGAGGAGGAGGAGGAGGAGGAGGAGGAGGAAGAGAAGGATTATTAGGAGGAAGAGGAGGAGGAGGAGGAGCTCCTGTACTGGGAGAGGCAAATCCAAACCCTCCTTTTTACCAGCCGGAATTCAACCCAAACAATCAAGACCATGTGTCAGTTTACCGATCGCCGTACCACGCTCCATCACAGGGCTACAACCAACCAGCACGCACCATCAGGAGACCGACCAATCCCGGAGCAGCGAGGGCTGTAGGGAGCAGAAGGTCTGCCTCTGCCAATCGGGAGGGTTTAACCTCAAGGAGGTGAGTGAGAGATCACAGATATAATAATTGTTCAACTTTAAAATGTCTTACATAAATATTAATATATTGTGATCATAATTAAATGTCTGGGAGAAAATGCCAATATCCAGTGTTTTAACTCCAGTTTCAGTCGGCCTCAAGAATTATTTTCAAACTTTTCTTATACTTTGTTTAGTATTGTTTTAAGGTTTAAAGGTTAATGGTCAGTGGACAATAGAAAAACACTGATTCAATCAATTTTCCAGTGAACAGAAGCTGTCACATGTGCTTTGCTAAGTTTGTCTTTTCCAGGAAACTAACTACAGCACACAGGAAGTGAGATTTGCCTTGCTGGCAATAAAAGTAACAATGACCTTGTTGAAAACCTGTAATCTCTGGAAAATGTTACAGATCGTTGACATATAAACAAACACCAAAATATAATATTCCAGATATAAATAAAATCCTAAGAGAACCATTTAAAGCAAATGCTCAGGATCCATTCTGGGGCCATTAGTTAAAGTGATGACATTGCTTAGGCATTAGAGAGAGTGGTTTTTGAGTGGTGGGAGTTGGAGTTATGCCCATAACTGGTGTCTGCTGTGTTATTACATCATTAGTTCTGTCATACCACCAGGTTGCTCTGCCCGCTGGCTAATGTCAGACATGATTTCTGATGTTGTACAGCTAACATGAACTGTATCTGAAATGTATGTTTCCCTATCTCTTCCACTGCCTCCTGTTCTTTCTGTACATCTCTTTAAACTTCCTGTTTCTTCTTCATTGTTTTGTTATTCTTTTCGACTCGCAGATCGTCCGCCATCCGTCCAGGTCAATTTGGGTACGGCAGGGTCCCGTTCTCTCTTCCTCTGCATCGCCAAAACCGGCAGGCTCGCCACACTGTCAACGGCACCGATGCTGAAACAGCTGGACTCAATGAAGACGATGCAGAAAATAACAAGAAAGAGGAAGAGGAGACTGGGAGTGATGGAGAAGATAGACAGGCGGCTAGGCGTCAGGAGGCGCTTGCTGCTGCTGAGGAACTTCCCACAAAGACCACAACAATTGGTCAACCCCACCGCAACGTTAACAGACCCCCACAAACCAACACAGAGCACAGGAGGGCAAGAGTCCCACCCCCTCAGCCCTTCTCTCGCTCTTCATCACCATCTCTGCTTCCCAATCGCCACCGCTTTGACTGGCACTCCGTCACCGCTCCTCCTCCTCCCATCCCTCCTCTCTCCCGCCCAAATTCCCCTGCCGTCACCCCACCTTTTTCCCCCCCTCTCCATCGCTCCAGCTCCATTCACAGAGACAGGGAGTTCCACACAGGCTTCGCACCCACAGGTGACATCTACCCACTGCAGCACCCCCACATCCCACACATGGGGGGGGAATCGGGCAGGGATGGAGGAAGAGGAGCTCAGGTGTACAGGTGCTCTGGCCCAGAGAAGGAGTACCGCAGGTGCTTCTCCCAGGTAAGATCTCCCCCCCCCCGACCTCAGAAATCAGATATCTCACTTATTTCACACCCTTTTATTAATCTCGTTCATCGCAGCTCCCCAGTGCCTATCCCCTGAGCCCCTCTACTTTATTCATCCTGCAGTCATGCGTGATTTATATGCATGCCGTGTGTTGAAGGGAGCAGTTAGGCGGACGGTAACAGAGGAGTTGAAGGTCAGCAGAGTGTATTTGATAGGTAGATCATTCCCCAGCTCCAACACTAGCCGGTTGTCTTTGAGCATTCGGTTGGAAAATGACTGCAAGTGCTCCAAGGCATGTGTGTGTATTCCGGGTCACGACCAGGCTACACACCTCCGTTGTGAAGCTATACACATGTCTTTTCAACTGATATCACATGCGTGTGAGTATAACTTGGGGCCAAAATCTGCGTCCTAGTGTGCGCAAAAGTGTGTCAGTGAAAATCATCGTAATGTCCTGTTTGGCTCAGGCCTGCAGGGATGATTGGGGTTGCAACCTTCTCCATACCTCTCAGTGCGAGCATTATCAGTAGAAACGTGTGCGTACGTGCTGGAAACCCAGACAGGTCGGGCATGTCAGACGGGCCAACTCATCCTCAACACTCAGGTGATAAACGCAGGTTGACCTCGCAGTTACTCACGTTTCACTGAGACAGGAATGCCATGCTTGATTTCACTCAATTAAATGAGATTGAGAGTGAATATCATAGATAAAGAGTTTTTAGTGATCAAGTTTGACCTTGAGATCTATTGAATGTCCTTTATTCATATATTGTTATATGGTGAATCTATTATGGTGGAATATTGAAAAGCATAGAAAACCGAACTTTTTTAGAAGCACATCCTGACACTATATCTTAAATCAGCTGCTCGCACTTGAATACCGTTCACATTTTCCAATTTTTTGCTAAAGCTGCTTCAAATTAACATCAGGCTCTCATAAGAACTTCCACCATTTTTGCAATTTTTTAAACATCAATCAATCAATTCTTCCCCCGAGAGAGTAACAACATTTTTTTCATGAGCAAGTAAAACAATGTTACAACTGCTACTGGAGCATTTTCCTTGATCAATTATAAGTTGTTGTAGTGAGGCTAAGTGTCCTTCACTTAGAGTCTGCATGGATCTGATTTTTTTTTTTATGTTTATGGGCAGCTTACATTGATCCCTTCTGTTTGTGTTTGATAGCCAGCTAGTTGCCAGCTTCAGCTCAATACAAATGTAGCTAACTTGACACTGGAACTGAATTCATTATGAAGACAAAATCATTGTACACCTGCATTCAACATGTTTATGTTAACATACTTAAGGTAAGGGTAATCAATACCTAGACTTATGTAAAAATAGGAAAACTAAATAATGTGAGAGATCTCTGGGCTTCCCAAAGTGCTACTTAAAAATTCAGCGGTGATCACTCCGCCTTGAGTTTCATAAAAATCGATAAACCATGTGAGATATCGCTTGTGAGTGATGGAGGGACGACGGATGAAATAAACCGCAGAAAACTGATCCTGAATTTTAATATTCGATAAAAATACTCAGAGGGACATTTGACCAACTCATTTGATTCCAGTGGACCACTTATAGCAGGTCTGTCTTGATTGACAGCTTAGGAGGAGATGATAAGACTGAATTAAATACCACACACACACTACGCTCTCGTTTCCTACTCTCATGCTATTTCCACAACTGGCTCTCATGGATGGGAAGTAGACACTTGAATTTGGGGCCAGGTTGGCACTGGTGGCCTCTTGACTTTCCTCTCTTTAGATAATTTGGCAGGCTTTCTTGCCCTCTTTCATCCCTCTTTTTTTCTTCCTCTTTGTCTCTGCAGGGCTCTGTGTGATAGTCTCCATGTTAAAAGAGATTTAGTAGCTGGCATTATACTCACCCTGCGTGTGCCAGCACCGCTAATAGCAGTCCTGTGACGGCTCAGCCTGACTCATTACATATTTACCCAACGTTAGCCTCTGCTTTAGCCTTGTTTGCTCCTGCAGGCTCCACATTTGTATATGTCCTTTTCATTGTTTGAATGTAGGTTTTAGTGCTGATGGATGCGGGACTTTGTCCAGGCATGTATGTACTGTATCTATGTGTGAGTGTGTGTGTGTGAGATTGAGCCAGACTGAGTGTGACACATCCTATTATCTATTAGGTGTGTTTGTCATAACACACAGCGCCTGAGGCCCACCACAAGTGCGATTGGCTGTGTGTATGTGTGTTTTTACTGTTGCATAGAAGCAAGAGGGGAACCAAGAGAGGGACAGAGGAAACGAGGAAGTGAAGGAAGTGACGCAGTTAAGTAGTAGTGAAAGAGAGTACTGTTTTTAGAAAATCTGCACACAGTAGTGAGAGGACAAGCTTAAGGGTGAGAGAAAAGGTGAGGAGGCAAAGAAGAATTGGAGATGAAGGCTGGTGAGGATGAGTGTGTGGGAGACGAGAAAGAGAGAGAGAGAGAGAGAGAGAGAGCAGAGTGTAACAAGAGGAGAAGTTATTCTGTCAGAGGGAGAGGGGTGAAAAGGTGGAATATGAGAAGAAGCTGGCTGAAAAAAAGTGAAGAAACACAGCAGCTCATAACAGATATTTCACAGAAAGACTTATACTCCTCTTCTTTCTTTCTTAACTTTTTGATTTGGTTGATTTTTTCAGCATTCCCTCTTGCCTTGACTCCTCTTCCTGTACTCCTCAGAGTAAATATTTGCCAGAAATCACTAACAGTGCGTTCTTCGGTGACAGCAAATGAGGCGAGATCAGAAGCATGTAGATTTAAGAAATATGTAGGTAGCCGTTCACCACATGGCCTAATAAGGTCGATTCCAGGAAACACAAGGATGTCATTTCCAATGGGAATAGGGGAGAGGGGTCTCTGCGTCTTTTCAACATGTTGATCTGTTCACATGAGTTGCCTTCAAAGATTGCCTTGACAAATGTTACATGCTTCATACAGTCTAGAGCTGCAATTAATGATTATTTTTCATCATCGGCTGATGATGATTTTTAAAGAACAATATTAGCTAGAAAATGTCAAAATGTATTGAGAAAATACCCCAAACATATGTTGTTTTTTCTGATTAGTTGCCCAAAGACCCAACATATTCTATTTACATTCATTGTTGATTAATTGATTATTTTCATAGCCGGTAATTTTAGCACTTAGTCACTGGTGCTACAGGTGCTGCTACTCAAGGCTGAAAAAGCACTTATATAAGCCTTGTTGTAAACTTTAAATATGACACTATCTGTCATAAAGGACACGGTCTCCATCAGGGAAACTCAATTTGGTAAGTGCAAGATCAACGAGTCCATAATCATTTGTTATTTTAAGACATTCTCAAATTAATTTAGGGTATAAAGTTCACGTATTGTTGAAGAACATCTGACTTTATTGTTCCTTGTCCTTCACTCTTTAGTAGACATAATAATGTACCTTAAAAAACACATAATACTTGAAACACACACAAAACTCTGATATATTTCGCTCGCCGATACCTGAGTTTGTGTTGCCGTGGTTTCGGGCGGCTGCAGCGAGATTCAGATGATCTAATCACAGTCTGTCATTAAACAGGCGGTATTACACAGGAAATGTATGATTATGTCTCTCAGCAGGGCAACACTCGTCAGCTCTAATAACTGGGTTCAGATCCTGCCACGCTTGCTGTTGTTTTCATGAAGTGCCGAACACTCACCAGATGTTTTTGTTTTTAGGACCCGAGCACACACACAAACAAACACACACTCGATTCATTTAGACTGCTCTGTTCTGTTTTTGCTTCATTACTTTAACAAGCTAAAGTACCTGCTTCTGTAAAAGAAACAGGTACCTGTGCTTGTTAAACTCTGTTTACATCGGCTCCTGGGTGTGAGAGTTTCCCTTTCTTTCATGTTTCGTTTTTTTCCCCAGTTCTGCCTTTCCTCTCACTCACCCCATCTGTCATTTCTTAATTCTCTCTTTCATTTAAAACTGTAATCTTTCATCAAAGAAAAAAGTAGCTTACTTGCATTTAAATCAGATAAGGAGAAGACAAGAAAGGGATAAGTGTAGTTTCCAAGAATGTCTAACTTTTCATCTATCCATGAAAGACTTTTATATTGAAAAACGTTCCTCTTTTTTGTCCTGGTCAAGATAATCTGCATTAACACTCAGTACCAGATGAAGAACAGTAGACAGCATACAAATCAAGATATGCTACAGAATCATAATATTTCTCATAAAGCAAAAGATTTTATACACGAAACAACCAAATATTCGGCAGACAAAGGACAGATCACACAGGTCCTGCAGCAATATTGAAATCAGTCCAACTTGTGCAATTTTAGATCCAATTTCTGAAGGTTCCCGGCAGAGGAAGCAGCATTACTGTCTACACTAAAAGCTCTTTTACGTAGTTGAGTGCAAACTTTGGAAACTGTTCATGAAAAACCAACCTTGGGAACTAAGATCAAAGCTGTCCACACTTTCTACTGCTCTCTCTCACGCCCATGTTCTATTATGAAAATATGTGTTATATCAAGAGTTATCACCTAACTGGTGTGTTTAATAAGAAGATGTGGCTTTGTAGATTTGCTGCATGGAAAGTGGAACACGGAGGGATTGTCATTTTCAGTGCTTTGGAGCAAAGTTCTGGTTTTATTTGTTGAATTTGTGGTTTTGATGTTTATCTTGAGTTTTTCTTTTCTTCTCTTGTTCTTATATTTGGCGAGAACATGTAAGTTGTTTTGAGGCTCAAACTCAAATTTCTCCTGAGAATAACAGCCACTGTTCTTGCCGTTGGTCCCGCGCAGCACGGGGCCTCCTTCTCTGTTGATGGATGAGCAGTGTTTCCTCCGGGGGACTCAAGACTTTACCCCCTCAGGGTCAAGGCTGAGCGCT